TTAATCCAGCTGCAGGTTATTTTATTTCAGATTAATCCAGCTGCAGATTATTTTAATTCAGATTAATCCAGCTGCAGGTTATTTTACTTCAGATTAATCCAGCTGCAGGTTATTTTACTTCAGATTAATCCAGCTGCAGATTATTTTACTGCAGATTAATCCAGCTGCAGGTTAATTTATATCAGATTAATCCAGCTGCAGGTTATTTTACTTCAGATTAATCCAGCTGCAGATTATTTGACTTCAGATTAATCCAGCTGCAGATTATTTGACTTCAGATTAATCCAGCTGCAGATTATTTGACTTCAGATTAATCCAGCTGCAGATTATTTTACTGCAGATTAATCCAGCTGCAGYTTATTTTACTGCAGATTAATCCAGCTGCAGATTATTTTACTGCAGATTAATCCAGCAGAGGTTAATCGGGCTGCACGGACCTCAGTGTGTTTGGCCTTGAACACGATGCCATGAGCTCCTTCTCCAATCCGACCCAGGATGCTGTACTGCTCCATCCTTCAGTCCAAACTAGAAGTAAAAAAAGAGTTTAAATCTGCTGTTTGACAATAATATTCAAGTATAAAACGTAATATATGAATATTACATCAGTGTATCTGAAGTAAAACTTGAAACACGTGTAAGAGGATATCTGGAGCCCTCAGAAGCTAAATTCCAGCTCTAGAAACCAAACTCCGTTAATAAATGAAGCCGTTCAGGACGTTTCGCGTTTGGGTTCAATAAAACATAAAGTTACTAAACATTTACCAACATAATGATCAAATAAACTTACTTTACTTTAGTTCAGCTGCAAAAACTCCCCAACAAAACAACCTGGTTTAAACGAAAACCCGTTGTTGTTGTTTTGTCAACAAAAGCCGGATGTTAGCTAGCGGCACTCGTGTTGCCATGGTAACGAGCGGCTAAGCTAACTCTGCTAAAAACGTAAAATCCTCCGAAGCGACGCGTCTAAAGTCAAACTGAACATTTGTTGTTGCTGAAACTGAGGACGAAGTGGAGAGGACAGAGGTTCTGTGTTTCTATAAAATTTACACCAAACCCGGAAACACGTGTGAAGTGTTTCCGGAAACACGTGCTGAAGTGTTTCCGGGTTAAAGAGTTGTTTTTCTGGCGTGCTGAAATGCTAATGCTAACGCTAACAGCGGTATTGATTTCATTTCATTAACTTCGGGGATAATTTCAGTGGGTTAATGCTGAACTCTATGTTCAACTAAAGCGGAAGTTGTGTTTGAACTGAGGATGGTTCCGCCGCTTGATTCGAATCTGGACCGGAAAGTTCTCCAATATGAAACATTCATCAGCGATGTTCTGAAGAAAGATCTACAGTAAGAAACGAGTCAGAGCTTAATGTTGTTTCCGTTACAGATGTGTGAACATTAATCATGTTTAATCCAGTTTAATCCTGTTAGATTATCCTCTGGCATCAGTAGAACTGTTTATTGTTTAGTTTAGTTGGTTTGTCTGCAGACTGCATGTTCTTAAAGAACCTGCTGCTGTTTGGCAGGAAGGTTCTGGAGCAGAGGGATCAGGTCTATGAGAAGATCTCTCAGTACCTGCAGCTGAAGAACACCATCCAGAGTCTGCAGGTACTCACCTCACATCATCCAACCTGAAGATCAGGAACACAAWCAAGTTCTGCTCAAAGATTGGATAACAGGACAGATGCATCACTCCCAACAGCTTTCTGTGTCTGCATTATCAACTTCTGATTTCCTTTACAGACGTGCAGTGTTACAGAGTTAATCTGTTCATCCTGAGTATAGATGACACTGTATATTAAAAATAAATTTTCACCATAATTATAGATAAATTGTTTTATTTATTGGACCTGTTACCTGAATATTTAAAATGATTACATCAGGTAATAAGACGTGTCCTTGTAGATCATTAATATAATGATGATGATAATGAGAATGATGATGAAGAAGATGAAGATTATGATAATGAGGATGATGAAGATGAAGATTATTATGATCATGATGTTGAGGAGGAGGAGGATAATGATATAATAATGATGATGATGATGATGAAGATGATGAGGATAATAATAATGATGATGATGATGATGATGATGTCACTGTGTGTTCCTGCAGGAGGCGGAGTCTCAGCAGCTGAAGACAGAGGTGGATCTGGGCTGTAACTTTTTTGTCCAGGCTCAGATGTGAGTTTCTCTCAGCACTGTCACCCACCAATAACCCACTCACTCTGTGTCTGTTAGCAAAATATCTCCTGAACCAGTGGACAGGTTTCAGGTCAACAAGATGGCCGCCACAGCTGACTGACATGTTCCTGGGTTAAACTCGCTCTCTTCCTCTCCGGCAGCGAGGACTCGTCCAGGATCTTCGTGGCTGTCGGCTTCAGCTTCTTTGTGGAGATGACTCACGACGAAGCTCTCCGCTTCATTGACAAGAAGACCAATCAGCTGACGGCGTAGGTTCACTGTCACCATGGCAACAGCGCCATGCACAAGTCACATGACAGGAAGTGTTGACCCAAAGCTACTGGTGGTTTTCCTTCAAAACAAAATGCTCAAAAATGTTTTACTGAACATTTTTGTTATTATTTTGGACAAATGTCTCAAATAAGGGTTTGTAGTTTAAATCCTTTTTAATTAGATAAATTTATCATGATTTATTGAAAACTTTAAAAATATTCGTTACAAACACATTCCAGTTTTAAATAAAGTTCAGGGAGTTTGAAGCTCTGTTAGCTTGATGCTAACAGTGGCTGTAGCTGTGAATGGGAGATGCTAACTGTGCTAACATTTGTTTTGCAGCTTCACGGAGCAGCTCACCAAAGACTCCGCCAAAATAAAAGCCAACATCCGCATGGTTCTGGAGGTTTGTTACTTTTCTTTTGTTAAAAACATCTAATCAGATACAGAATTTTAATCTCTGATCTTTACTGATTACATTTGATTTAGTTTAGTCAGGAGGTGTTTTATTCTGAAAGTCCAGGCAGGAAGTCAGGAACTTGATCTGYTTAAAACAATGATCAGAACCAGGCTGGAAGTCCAGATTCTGTAGTGTTGAGATGTTCTCTGAGGGCGGAGATGGACGTCCTCCTCTTTGGTTCTTCGGCCCATCGTTGTGGACCCACAGAGGACAGTCTGGACCTAGACCAGCTGGTTTACAGAGATGTTCCTCTTTGAGGACCTGAGGATTCTGATTCTCCTCCTCCTCCTCAGGGTCTGCGAGAGCTGCAGGGCCTGAGCGACCTCCCTGAGACCCAAAGAGGGGACGTTTTATGAGCTGATCCTGGTCTGGGTCTCCTGGTCTGGGTCTCCTGGTCTGGTCTGATGAAGCTGCTGCTCCTCGAGGAAGAGGAGGCAGAACTGAGCCGTGGATGTTCTCAGAGAGCTGAAGGACGTCGTGGACAAATGTCCCACGAGATGTCCACTTCCTGTTGACGTGTTGGGTGTCCACTTCATTCAGACCTTCAAAATAAAATGTCACGATGTGTTTATAGTTTAGTTTTCTTCTTGTAAATCTGCTTTAAATAAAGATGCAGTTATAAGAAACACTCTGAAATTCTTTATTGAATTATTAGTTTTTATTTTTCTTATGAGATTTATTTTAACCCTCCTGCTGTCCTAGGGTCAAACCATCCAGGCCTCAGTTTGATGAATGTAGGGCAAAGGTCAAACAGGAGGGACTTATTTTATGTAACTTTAGATATTTTTCTGTTTTTATTTGTGTATTTTCTGCCTTTTACTGTTTACTAATGTAAAACTCTTTTACTTGAAATATTTTATTTTTTCCAGTCATGAATAATTAAATATTTCTTAATAAATTTATATTAATTTAAAAAGTAATTTTTTTGTTTGACCAATGAACATAAAACTATAATTAAATTTTCTCAGAAAAGTTGGCCGGTGTTACAAAGCTCTGAGTTCTTTTTGCATCTTTTTAAATTATAAAAATATTTTCTGTGGACTGAAAAGGTTTTCCTCCCGACTCGAGACTTTTCACAGGTTTGTTGGAACAGAAACACATGAGGACTCGTGTGATCGTCAGCCTCGACCTTCGGCTGACGTGATGAAGATCAGCTGCTCTCGCAGATGCTCGACAACAGGAGCCTGTTTCCACGGCAACCAGGGGCTGAAGAGAGCTGAGAGACTCTTGAAACCAGCAGAAAGATGAGGCAGCTTGAATCACACCACCATTTCTTCTAAACACAAAGTTAGACCATCTAACCTGCACACATTCTGTTAGAAAACTATAGTTAAACATAAAAACATTTTTTATTTCATTCTATCCCTGAGCTGTGCTTTTAATAATAAAAATGTTTAAATGTTTAAAACTCATATAGACAATGTGCAGAATATTCTATGAATGGATGTTTTATTTGATCGTTCAGACCGAACAAATAAATTATCCTAACATGTTGAAAAGGAGCCAGAATAGTGTGCAGAAAATGCTGCATTGACGATATTAAGTTCAGGCTCTTATTTTGAAAGGTCCCACCGGAAGCCCTTCGAGCAGAACTTCCGTTATTTTGACTGGAAGAACAGTGAAGAGGCGTAAACAGGAACAAACTGTGAAAAACTTCTGTGTTCAGCCGCAGGTTCTGGACCCGGTGCGGGTCCACCCGGACGGATCTCGTGGACCACTTTTCCTGCGGTCCGGAGGCGCGCGGCCGGCCCCGGGGAACTCTGCAGCGTGTACCCGCAGCAAGCGGCGCCGTTTGGGACTGACGCAGCGGTGAGGCGGGGGGCAGCAGGCTAGGCTAGGCTAACCGCCGCTGCGCTCACTGGACCTTGAACTTGTTGAAACTTTTTAAAAACCTGCAGCAGCCGGAGCTTTAGACACAAACTGTGAAACTGAAGCAGAAAATACAGATAATTTAACGTTTTTACGGCTTTTTTCTGCGGTTTGAGTAAAGTTCTCCTGGAGGAGCGGACCGTGACGGCYGCTTGTTTTAGCGGCAGTGTTGATCCGCACACGCGGAGCGTCCGAGTCCTGCTGGGTCTGCGGGACACCGAGCCTCTGCCCCGGGCTGGTGCTGCCGGCCGCTGCGGGTCCTGCTGCCGCCGGTGGTGTTAGCATGGAGACAGGAGAGGCTGGCAGCGGCAGCTCGGAGCGGTTACATAACGCCTGCAGGTCGGGAGAGAAGCTGCTGAGCGTCGCCTCCTCCTCCGCCTCCTCTGCCTCGGTTCGGCTGTGACAGTTCTGCACGCAACCAGAACCAGAACCACAACAACAACAACCCGAGGAGGACAGGACAGCAGCATGGACGCGGTGTGAGTTGACACAGGGACAGAAACCGGGACCAAAGATGGAGTCCAACCCGCTCATTAACGGTGAGAACTGCGGGTCATCCCGCCCCTCTGGTTCTGAGAGGTTCTGAGAGGTTCTGAGTGGTTCTGTGCAGTTTGCAGGGCAGCAACAGGTGTGTGTCGCTGCTGCAGCTGCGTCTCACAGCTGTGTGAGTTCTGGTTCTGTTCAGATTGGACCTGCTTCCTGTCAGCAGGTAAACCAGGTGTTGAACCTGTTTGAGTCTCATGAATTACTTGTTGATGGTTTTCTTCTGGGAGGTCCAAATCCAGAACCTGGAGCATCTACAGCTGACACCTGCACACACCTGTGTCAGGTTAATGACACGTCTGCTCAGGTGGGACCTGTGGGTCTGATGGTCCTGCAGACCTGCTGTTTGACTCATCTAAGACTGGGTTCACATGGTTCTGTTCAGACCTGGACCAGATGATGTTTAACTGAACATCAGTTGTGTGGAGCTACCTGAGACACAGGTACAGGTGATGAAGATTCATCCCAACAGGTCAAACTGTAAAACTGAGTTCTTCTGATGAAAACCAAAGATTTTTATCTGCATTTGTTAAAAATTAAAATTATCTTCAAATATTTCTGGTCCTGTAAACAACCAGGTGTCTCACTGCCAGGTGTCTCACTGTCAGGTGTCTCACTGTCAGGTGTCTCACTGTCAGGTGTCTCACTGTCAGGTCACTGCCAGGTGTCTCACTGTCAGGTGTCTCACTGTCAGGTGTCTCACTGTCAGGTGTCTCACTGTCAGGTGTCTCACTGTCAGGTGTGTCATTGTCAGGTCACTGTCAGGTGTCTCACTGCCAGGTCACTGTCAGGTCACTGTCAGGTGCCTCACTGTCAGGTCACTGTCAGGTGCCTCACTTCCAGGTGTCTCACTGCCAGGTCACTGTCAGGTGCCTCACTGCCAGGTGTCTCACTGCCAGGTCACTGTCAGGTCACTGTCAGGTGCCTCACTGCCAGGTGTCTCACTGCCAGGTCACTGTCAGGTGCCTCACTGCCAGGTGTCTCACTG